TTTTCATAAAATCCTAACGCCTTTAAATAAGGCAAGTCCTAGCTTGGGGTGCAGAATTTTTTTATATATAAAACACAGTATAATACCACGCTTTATGTATTTGGATTATTGTTATGTCAGTTATCCGCAGAACACTTATTGGTGGGCCCAAAAAAGAAGTAAAACGCAGTATAACACTGTGTTTTACATTAAAAATTGAATTATTTATGTCAGTTACCTCAGAACAATTGGTGGGCCCAATAATGAAGTAAAATGCAGTATAATATTACGTTTTACATTAAAACGTAGTATTATACTGTGTTTTAGGTTAACGGCTAAAATTCTGTTAACATAAAACGCAGTATAATATTGCCTTTTAGGTATAAATGTAACTTTTTTTTTATAGCTGTAAAAACGTAATTAGAGTTCAAAAACTTGCGATTTTGGTTTCTCACTCGAGCCTCTTTGTACCGGAACATCAAACATCATCATTACATTTTCTTTTTATGAAACTTCTCTATNCCAAATAATAAGTTAATTAATCCTTTAGCAAAGATCAGAACACTCGTTAGTGTGCGACCCCTTAGATTCAATACTAAGCCGGTAGTAAATTGATCATACCAATATTACTAATCAAGGGTAGAGCCTAGCAACACTCCTTAATGACCGAATAGAATGAAATATACAATTTACTCTCAAGAACCAGTAGAATAATAATATAATAATTCATTCTGTCCTTATAGCTCTGGGTCACCCTAGGATATGGTTCAACTGTCAAATCCTAATAGGCGACCAACTATGTGTTCATGTTAAATATAATCAACCATTGAATGACCTAAGAAACTCTTCTTCTTTTTTCATTTAATTGCCGTGGCCAAGGTATTAGTTTGGTCGTTTATAATTCATGACAACATGGAGGTTAAACTCATTACCAAGAATTGACAGATTCCATCTTGATCAATCATTAATTCTACAAGTATTTAATCATACCCAATATCCTTTCAATTATCGCCCTAGGGCCATAGGTGTCTAGTATCAAAGTACAATAAATAACTTGTCAATTACTATGGCGATCTCAGGTCAAAGGAAACTCTTACATCACATTTTTCAAGAGAATATCCTATTGACAGTTAATGGTAATTCTAACCATTAGGAATTATCCAATGAGTCGGTTCAATGATTATATTTTTATATGCATCATCTATCTATGTGATTTAGTTAATTAGATCAACTAATCTTTATCCCATAAAGACGATCGCATGCATATTGATCTAACTGGATTACTAATGTCCAAATTAACAATCCTACGATCAAGAACAAATTTAGATTAAATTGTAAGAAATTTCACTCTCATTATCATGATCTCCATCACGATGACAAGTCTCAAAATTTAATCAAGGACCTTATCAAATTAATCAAGCAATTGATAATAACTATGATAAAAGAATATCAAATGCCATATATTTTTATATCAAATAATGTTCACAAAAATATGTTCAAATCATCACATAGAGATTGGATCTAGGGCATATCTACTATATCCCTAACATGTGATATACCCGCTATTCCATCTTTTATCTTACACGCCAAATTAGCTATTCAAACTAATTACTATACTCGCCATAGGTTAGAACTTCATATGTAAGCCTCTTTGTTCCGGAACATCAAGCATCATCATCACATTTTCAGGTGCAGTATATCAACTACAGAAATGTATATTTCTTTTAATTTGCTTAATATACTCAGTCGGCCGGGATGGAAAGTGAAATTGAACCCTGATTTAATATTAAAAGGTTAATTTTGGAAGCTTGGTCGGATGACCCTTAAATAAATCTTTAATTACTGCACCTGAAAATGTAATGAGATACACAGAAAGAGAAGTGAAGAAACCGGCAAATTAGAGTATATAAAGGGGAACAGGGCCCATAGAAGCATAACTATGAGAATAGTACTATTTGTTTCCTGAAAGTCAACTAAACGCATGGGCTTCATAGAGACATCAGTTGTTACCTTTTCTTTTAATGAAACTTCTCTATCCAAAGGTCCATGCTTACAGATTTTTGAGGTGACATATATTGGTGCTCTCCCAAAAGTTTGAACTTATCATTTGTTCAGCTATGGAAGCTCCAGCAGAGGCACATTACTTGTCAAGAACTGGAGGCTGGATCACCTTCCCCTTCATCATAGGTCTCTCTCTCTCTCTTCACGAACAACTATACCAGCATTTCATGTTTATATCAATTCTCATGTCCAGGTAGAGGTGATATAATTTAATAAATGAGTGTAATATGTATATGACCCCCAAGGGATATAGCGGGATGAATGAGATCTTTTCATCTCAACAATAGGTCTTGGGTTCGACCTCTGTCAAATGGTTCTGCATACCAGATGGTTGAATGAAAAAAGAGCATAAATAAATTGATATGTGAATTGCTTTTGCCGGAGTTTTGCTAGATAATGCACAAATATAGCTGATTCCTCACATACTCAAGATTACTGGAAAATACTGAAGGAACATGATAATGACTGGTCAACTTGGTTTGTTAGTCTTCCAATAGCAAATCCAGACAGATCATACATCTTTAGCCTTTTAATTGAGTCATTTCTTTTTTCTTCCCCACTTATTCTGTTTTGTTCATCAGAGAGGGAGCCATTAATCAAATAGCTGAATTACAAATAAATCGTATTTTTATTTCGTTTGAGGGAGTGATCCATCCATTTGAATGGTGTAATATAAGGATTTAACATGTTATAGTAAGTTATCTGCCTAAAATTCTTTTTATAATATCAGTGTATTAGCTTAATTAAATGATCGTACTAATATGATATTCAACTTGACTTTTGAATTCCATGATAAAAACAGCGACCTCAGTAGGCTTGACCCTAACATTTGCGGGTTGGCAAAGCAACCTTATAGTATATCTGATAGAGGAATTTGAAGTGGAGAGCATCGATGCTGCTCAAATATCAAATCTGGTTAATGGTGCTGGAAGTTTGATTCCCGTCCTTGCTGCTATTATTGCCGACTCATTTCTTGGTTGCTTCTCTACCATTTGGATTTCATCCATCATCTCATTACTGGTACGTACCACTATTTTGTCGGTAGCTACTACCATGTTGTTGTTTGACCTGGTTAAGTTGGTTGATGCATTAGAATCTATATTATAACGGGTGTAATAACTGCATCTTTTTCAACTATCACCCCTTACAGCTCCAATTACAATTAGATATTTAAATGAAGAAAAAAACGAGAATTCAGAAAAAGATGTTACTGTAATTTGGGTAAGCTTATTGCTGGTCAAATAATATTATACACACTTTTTTGGTTGATTTTTACATTTGGTAAATTAACACACTTATTAGTCAAATGATTATTATAAGGCAAATCATCCAAAATATATAAGTTGGTAACTTCTAACTTCTAAATTTTTAACTTATAAGTACTTTTGGTTGAACTAGAATTTTTACTATTTTATCCTAATACTCTTTTTGAATTCTCAAAACACTCTTCCCACAACAAAACTTCAAACTTCCTCTCCATCTCATTTTTGCTAGGTTTTTTCTTTTATGTATTTAAATTATTTTATTGCACTTGATGCTTATCATCTAATTTTAATCAGTTAAGTCAAACATACTCTTGAAGGGTGTATAAATAAATGAAAAGACATATATTAATGAACGTTTTACCATTTTACGCATTCTTAAGATTTCTATTTGCAGGGCACAATATTTTTAGCTTTAACAGCGACACTTGATTCTTTGAGGCCTAAACCCTGTGATGTTGACTCAACCTCATGTAGACCTAAACCAAGAGTTCAATATGTAGTACTATATGCAGCCATAATTCTAGCAACTTTAGGGAGTGGTGGTACCCGATCAACCCTTTCAACGATGGGAGCCGACCAACTAGATAAGCCAAAGGATCAGGGGATTTTCTTCAACTGGTTCTTCTTCTTTTGGTATGCTGCTTCTGTAGTAGCATCAACAGCTATAGTCTACGTTGAAGATAATATGAGTTGGAAAGTGGGATTTTTCATTTGTGTAGCTACCAACGTTCTTGCTTCAGTCATTTTCCTAATAGGAAGCAGATTTTACACAAACTCTAAGCCAGGAGGTAGCCCGTTCACCAGTTTGGCTCGCGTTGTGGTTGCAAGTATTAGGAAAAGAAAAGTGCCACTCCCATCGACTGGTGAGTATTTCTACCATGGATGGGAGTGTCACCCTGTTGCGCCCTCGAAAATCTGCAGGTAATTTTGTAACATTTCGCTCTATCTCACTTACTTTCTTTGGTGTTTACTGTGTCTTCACTTAGAGCTTGGGACATCCACCGGATCTAGACTAGACGCAGCAGATTCGGCAGAACTTAATGCATGTAGCTAAGACTATTTATGTTCGTGGAAAAAATTGACACATAAAAAAGAAGAGAATTACTCGTACTCCTATGCTCTTCAACGCTTATGCTTTATTTGCAACAATAGTATTTTCTATATTATCTCAGTGGCAAGTAAATTGTACTTATTAGAGAATACAATTGTTCCTCATAGGTGATAAGAGTTTCTAAAGGGGTTTAAATGGTCCTGAGCTACTCCATTCATTAATTGCATTAAGGGGGGTTCAACATATAGTCTATGGATGCATATGCCAGGCACATGTGCACTTACTTTCATATAGAATTGAACTTGCTCATGATGCTGCAGGTTCTTAAACCGTGCAGCCATAAAAAGTGAAGGTGACATTAAATCAGATGGCTGTACAGCTAAGCCATGGAGACTTTGTTCAGTACAAGAAGTCGAAGATTTTAAATCCTTAATTAGAATTGTACCACTATGGTCAAGTAGTTTCTTTCTTGGAACATCAATTGGCGTACAAGCAAGTTTGACAGTACTTCAAGCCTTGGCAATGGACCGTCACGTAGGGCCCCATTTCCAAATCCCAGCTGGTTCCATACTCGTCTTTGTCCTGATCTCTACTGCTATATTCCTCGCTCTGTTAGACAAGTTTCTCTTTCCTGCATGGAAGAAGTTGACCGGCAAATCCCTGACTCCTCTCCAGAGAATTGGGCTTGGGCACGTGCTCAATGCTCTGGGGATGGGTATCTCGGCCTTAGTGGAGTCAAAGAGGCTAAAGGTAGCAAAATCCAACAACGGTGATCAAGGTTCTAATATTGTGCCTATGTCAGTGTTATGGCTAGTACCCCAGTTAGCCATTGTTGGCATTGCAGAGGCATTCCATTATCCTGGTCAAGTAGCACTATACTACCAAGAGTTTCCAACAACATTAAAGAACATGTCAACCGCTATGATTTCGGTGCTCGTTGGTATAGCATTTTACTTGGCTACTGCTCTAATTGATGTTGTTAGAAAGACAACTACATGGTTACCAGGTAACATAAATAAGGGAAGGCTGGACAATGTGTATTGGGTATTGGTTGTAGGGGGAGTATTGAACTTTGGTTACTATGTAGCATGTGCTTGGTTTTACAAGTATCAACATCTGAAGGAAGTGGATCATAGTTGTACTCCTGATGATGAGTGATCCCAGGGTGAAAAAAGATAAAACAAAGGATCATGATGTTTGACATTGAAGTACCATCACGACAGTTGCTATATAGTTTGTTATTCTGGATAATCTGTTGCCCGACTAGACAATTCATATAAAATGAGACAAAGGAATTACCTAAACTATAGCAGCATGACTCAACAAAATGTAAGTGAAGGTGACAGAAAAATGACATACCACCGGGAGCTAAGGTCAGAGCTACTACGAGGACAATGTTTCTGCCATCAAAACCTGAAATTTTAACGGTCAACAATCGTACAAAACACTATCTTCCAGAATAAATAAACTTCCAGCGTCCATATTTACTAAATAATTCTTTCTGATGAAACACTCTCGTCAACTTATCATCATTAACTACTTTGGATAAACATTCTCAGAGTAAATCAACTACCAGTACTTTAGAACTCAGCAGAAACCACTTTTGAGTTACTTTCCTAACTCAAGCCATCTCCACACAGATGGAACTGAAGCCCTTTTTTATCTTCCAGAAACACATTCTTTGGGTTATCTAATTAACTTGTCGCTATATTTGCCTCCTCTGCAATGCATTTCTATAATATAGGAAGCTCCCCCTTTTGTAAAACCTGGAAATAGAACCAAAAGACATAAAATATGTCCAACCTGCTTCAGTAGGAATAAATATAATGTTGTTAAGTTCCTACTAATTTACTTTACTATAATAATGTGCATCTGTTATAGGTAATTAAGATAAGAGCAAAAAGTAAATCACATACATGGGAGCATGTAAGTAATCACTATAGCCGAGCTGAAATAAGAAAAAAAGATGATTCAGATTTAGTAGAACACAACCAACAGATCAATAACATCTGCAACCACAGATTTCACTACCAAAATATATTGTTAGCTCCGGCTTTTTATCAAGGAACTGGGATGCGATCCTAACAACCCATTTAACACCAACTATCTATAGTTGAATCAAATTTAATGCGTCTTCCGTTTTGCAGAGACAATATCTAAAACCAAACTGAAATAAGAAAAGACAGGAAATCATTCAGATTTTTTTCCGAAACGGTAAGAAGTGTATGGGTCAAAATCTGACCAGACAAGAATCTGTGTGGGAAGGGACGGTGAAAGAATACCTGAAATTGTCGTATCCATACCACACTGTAACGACACGTACCTGGGCGTGTATTTAGGATATCTGAGGCGAATTGGATATCGTGGCATTTCAAGGGGTCGGCCCATAACATAGTCAAATGACTTAAATACTATGGGTAAAGACCGTTGAGTAAGGGAGAAGATCTAGTATATGAAATAAGGGAAAAGAAGAAGAAAGGGGAGTGGAACAAATGAAAAGACAGAGATTACCCAAAAAGAGGAGGGATCATCTTCTCTCTCCATCAAAGAGAAAGAAGCAAGGAAGCTCAGATCTTCAACATAGATCGTTAGTCTCATCACCCCCAATGCATGGGGTTCTACCTTATTAAAGATCGGTGACCTTTTTCATCCATGTATTCCTCATTGATTGTTAAACATTATGGAAACTGTCATTTTCTTCTTATATAAGGTGATTCTATAAATATTACAGTTAAATCTTTTGTGTGATATGCTTGCTTACTCTCATCTTCTATCTTAGATCTAGGCTAAAGTCTTCTTATTTAATTAGTTTAGCAAAAAGCTCAATACTTTTTGGTCAAACAATTTGGCGCCGTCTGTGGGAATTTCTTAGCCAAATTTTTAGTTTCCTCTAGATATAAAGCCAGCCAAAGTGTCATCTCCCGGGTGTCATAACCTCACCGTCTCAGTATAAACACCAACTTGAAAAAAGTGGTGAACAAGCTTTTGAAATAACCAAACCAATCAGGATCAGATCTTTGCATGAAATCGAAATTATGTCTAATATCTATCCAAAATTTGCGTCTCGCCATAGCGATAGGTTTGGAACGTCGTACGAGTACCCAAGGCGGGATTACGGCCACTGTGCACTTATCACGTCTGCAATCCTATTCGCCATACTAACGTTACATATCGATCTATACCTCCACCTCTTAGAAAAAAATGATAGCCTACTGTGTGATTCTTTGAAACAACCGGCTCATCCTACCTTATTTTTGTATCCGTGTGCACAGTGGTAATTTATGTACGGAGTATAACTAATGTTTCCCTATTTTTATGTGCATCGGACGGGATCGGACCGGGGCCCGAGCTCGAGATTCCAACGGGCAAAGTATGTTTAGCCTATAAGAGGCCTAGATGCGGTTAGGCGAAACCAAACGCGAGGCTACAGAATCTGAAACCGCCATTAGAGTACGAGATAAAGCAATTCGTCCTACAACGCTTTGCCTCCTTCACCGACTCATCATGTAAAGGTAACAGGCAATTTCATTTGAGCTTAACTTATCATTTTCCTTTTTTGGATCAGGATAGGAACACGGGCACTCGCACAGGCGCGCGAACGAGGAACAAACACCGTCGGACACATCAGGATAACACTCTGTACCATACCACCACGCAGGCGACGGTCGAGCGAGACCCTCCACGCCATGCCATAGTACAAATAACGGACAAATGGCCCAGAACGAGCCGGTATTTAAGAAAGTTTCCATGACCTGGGACTGGGCGGTTGTTGATACACAATTTTTCCCCAAAATATTTAAAAATTGCATATATACCTTCAAAATCATGCATTAATAGCAATTGGTATTTTTCTATAATTTCCCTCTATTTTTATTAATTTATCCAGCATTTTATTCCCAATAAATAATTACAAAATAGCATTACAAACTATTTCAAAAGCATCTCTTGATCTAACTTATTATTTATGGTCCTATTTAAACCAAATTATTTTATAATTAGCCAAATTGGCACCTTTTGGCTATAATTTCAATAACTTTGCAATTATAGCCCAATCATATTTTTGACCGGAAATTAATCATTTGTATTGTATAATACTAAGCAATCATTTTAAACTATTTTCTATGCATGAAATTCATTTTGTACAATTATCAGCTATTTTTATAAATTATTTTATTCAATTTAATTGGGTATTTAACAAATAGCCCCATTTTATTTCAATTATAATCTGATTAAACCAACCCCAAAACCCCAATCGAATCAGCCCAAAACCCAAGCCCAAACCTAAATCCTACCCGACAAAATTCCACCCAAATCGTGGCCGTTGATCGTTTTTGATCAACGGTCCAGGTTAATTCCTTCCTTAGTTAACCTAAAAGACTATCCCCCAACCCTCATTTCTCTCATTCTATTATGACTCTCCGCCATCTCACCCTCTTATTCTCTCTCGAGCCCTCTGCTAAATCTAAGCTTTTACTCGCCGATTGTTGAGTCACCGGCACCACTGGTGGTTCCACCACCACCCTTAGCCTCCATGGCTCCCCCCATGCCAGATTATTGCTACCCTAAGGCCTTCAAGGGACCAGCAGTCAACTCACATCTAGGGTATGTGCTCACCGTTCTCAGGCCACCTTGGCCTGACCAAGTAAGATCTTTCTATTTTCCGGCTAGATCTATGGTTTCTAAGCCGGAATCTCTCCATTGTTGGGTTATCTCTCTCTGAAACCCTAACTCATCTCTTGACTCTTCAGATCTACTATAGATATGAGTACATTTTGAGTTATTTTCGTTGTTTTCCATGATAAACTCTCTGATTTTTCAAATCGCCTCTTCGTCTTCAAAACTAGGGTTTCTTCACCCCCTTTTCAAAATGACTTTTCCTCTGATTTTCAGTATTATTCTATAATTTTTACTATGTTTAAATGGTTTATTTAAGTTTTCTTTTATCTGATTCATTATGTTGAAAGCCCCTAATTTTTTGGCTTTAGTCTTGGATTCTGAGTTTGTCTTTACTGTTAGTTCATTTGATTTATCCGTATGTTTGATTCTCATAAATATGCTGTGATTAATTAGAGTATTTCTATGATTTTCATCCCAGTAATATCTTATTAAGGTTTCTGATTTGGTTCTTCCTATTTGTACTCCGTTTATTAGTTTATTCATGGAAGTCTATACTATTTCTTTTAATATTAGTACTATTTTCCGATTCTTGAATCCTTGATTTACTGTGTTGATACTCTTATACCGATTTCCGACTATTTTTCCTATTTTTCATAACCCTTAAATTATTTTTTACCTTATTATGTGATTGACTGTATTATTAATTGATTTCTACTGTTATTTCCTTAATTAGACCCTTATGTATCTATCCCTAATTACATATTCTGTACCTATGTTGTTTGAATTCTTTCCTTATCTGTTACTTGCTTTCTATCATTGGTAAATTACTCCCTTAATTAAAGGGTACTTGGCTGATTCTCGTTCTTAATTGATTCTGTAGTTCTATAATTGCTGAACAATTGATTCTTTCCTTATTTTACCTAGCTTTCAAACTATTATATATAGACTTTCTTCTCTTTTCATTACAGACACGAACACATTGGTTAAAAACTCTCTCTCACACACTCAAAACTTCTTGCTCTCTTTCTGTGATTACTTACAACTATTCTAAGTTAGCCGGCAGCAAGCCAAGGCTATCTATTGTGCTCTCCTATTCTTCACTTTGTGTTTATTGTCTCTTTACTGGTATGTCCAAATTTCAATTCAAGTTCCAAAACCAATATGTTTCATTTACTACTTCAGCTTATCATGTTTCTGTTTTGTTTCTATCTATGGTTCTGTTGTTGAATGTGTAATTGACATGTTTACATTAGGGCATCATCGAGCATGCTAGTTCTACTTCTCTAGTAGTCTGTTTCAATATGACTCTATCCTACTTTGAATACTTGTCTGCTTATTGTCCAGTTTTTATATGCACTTACTTTGCAAACTGATCTGTCCCTTTAGATGTATTATTCTATGATTGTTTCTGAAATCCATACTGTGTTGGTATCACTAGCTATTCCCTAACCCCGTAAACCCTCACAAGGACTGCTATGCTGCTATAACTATGTGTTTACCTACATGACCTATGTGTCCCCAAATCCTTCAACCCCTGTTTGTGGTTGCTGAACCTGCCTTGGTTCTATGTTCTCTGGTTGTGTATGAACCTATTTGGGGTGCTTTGTTTGGACTGTTGCTTATTACTCTACTCTCTTTCAAAACTGTCTCTGTTGTCTTTTTACAAAACTATTTAAAACAAGCCCATTTTCAAACTGTGTCCTTGTTTAAATCTTTTCAAGCACCTTCACATCTACTCTTAGGTTCTAAGTTCTGCCCCTCTAATGTGTGACTGCTTAAGGATCCCTATGAGATCCCTCTAAACTCTGATACATTAGAGTTGGCCCTTCCACACTGCACTTACTCAACTATGACTATGAAATCTGGGTGTGAGCACTGCCAGGGATCCCTTGAGGTCCTTAGGGAACTCTGACACACCCGGATTATATGAAAGGCTGTGAGGCAATCTGGAATTGAAAATTTTGGAAATCTGGCCTATTTGTAGGCTCCCTATAAAGTAATTTCTTATTTTTCTTAACTACTTATGTAATTCATTCGATATTGGCCTGTAATAATTTGTAAACGAATATGGGGGTTGGATAGTGAAAATGGGAGGGTAGCTATACATGTTATCAATATCAATGGGTAGAAAATATGTTTTA